GCTCGATGTCCATCTCATCCTTGATCTGCTGCATGATCCTGAGACTTGGCAACTTGGGACTACGGTCGGAGGGGTTGGACATCAGCTTCCCACTTTGAGCCACCCAGCTCTGAACCCCCAATCTCAAGCATCCGACTCGATCCTGCTTTGCATGGAGCCAAAAAGTTACCCATTAGAAGTCAGTCGATGCTTGAGCGAATGAGTATTTGTCTGACCTGCGGTCCAATAGTTCCGGGGCATCCCACGACACCATGTTATGCTATAGCAGCACAGCAGTGTAAGCCACTGTAAGCCAGAGCGTCTCATCTGCCTCCGCCGTCACATCGCCCTGGCGGATACCTCAGAAACAGCCAAACGAGAGCCAACAATCGCTTTGCAGAGCGAGTGCCGGATCCAGAAAGCTCCACGAAATCGCCCCAAACGGATCGAGCAACCTCTAACTCCACTTAATAAAGGACAACACCTCAAGAACTCCAAAGGGATGATGCCGCTGTTTCTTCAACTCCCTCTGCTGTCTTCCTGCTGCCCGAGATGCGCTTCAAGTACCTGACAAGCAAGCAGAGAACGGCAGCCAGGGCAGTGAATACTGCCTACGGAGTTATCACGCGCACGCCACGGCAGCCCCAGGAGCCAAAGCTAGCCCCGAAACAAGAAAAGCGGCATCCCTACTGTTCCCAAAGCCCTGACAAAGCCCCCACTCCCGAGACTCCGAGAACGAGGCACCTCGTGCCGGCGGCGTAAGCCTTGGCCTCCGACTCCTTGTGCAGCATCTTCTCCATGACCTGAAAGAGACACCCGAGCTTTCTTGAGATGGCATCGACGGCATGGCGTGCAGTTAGGTACAGGAATGACGGGAGGTGTACTAGTAAAGAACTTATGAAGTCAGACCGTCCGCAGAATCCTGAGTCCTTTCTTGCGTGGAGCATCCTAGTCCTAGACATTCGCCGACACAAGGTCGCAAGCTTGGCCAAGAGACGAAGCGCGGAGACTCAGGAATGAAGAAGCCGCCCAGTGTGAGCCTGCTTTAAGGGCCCGTGACTGTGCTGCAGATGTGGTTGCAAAATCGATACAAGTCTGTGCTGAATCGTGTCAGCCGAAGGACACGGCGCCGGCCAGCCCTGGCAGCAGCATGCCGGTGTACCAGTCCTGCACACCATGGCCACCAGGAGTGGAGCAGTTGGCGCAACATGGGGAGGTGGCAGTAGCCAGAGCAAACACGATTATCGTGGAAGCAGTGGTGACAAACTTCTGCCGACCATCTCCAATAACTCGCGGAACTGCTAAGCCCTTGCCCTTGTCCTTGTCTAAGAAGGTGATCAAGCAAGAAATGAAGCAACCAACCACTACGTTCCTCGGTAGTCACAGCCCATTGTGGAAGGGTTCCACTGCCAGTATCGCACCGAAAGGGAAGCAGGACATGCCTGCCATTCGAAGAACTCCCTGAGCCAAGGAGCAACTGAAACAGCGAACCTGTAGCACCTTCCAGGCAGAGTTCGCTACAGACTGACTGGCACTTTGCCCGGCTTCTTACCACGGTTCGTACTGCTTTGCAGCCGGTGCCTCGGATGGCTGGGGTCGAAATCCTCGGTCCAAGCTTGCAGACCGTCGCCCCAAAAGCAAGCTAAGCCAAGCCTTAAGCCTGAGGACTTGTCAGCACCAGCAGGTTTGAAAAGCCACTAGCATTAACTCTACACAGCTTGCTTTTGGCCTCCACCCCGGCTGCCTCAAACGAGTTCGGAATAACAACACAGCTCTTCTTCTTTGCTTTTGTGCAAGTCCAAGGGCTTTCAAAAGAACTTTGATCCAAGCTTCTCTGCGTTGTAAAGTGGGAGCGCAAAGCAGCTCACGCCGACGCCGAAGCCTGCAGCCGTTTGCACCCCTGGCCCAACCACCCAACACTGCGAATGAGAACAGCTGTAAATATGACAGTTGGTGGCAGCAGTCCGGCCATCTCAAAGTTCCAAAGCATAGGAACCATGGAAAAATGCCAGTAACAATGCAAGATTTCGTCGATCAGCTGTACTCAATTGCAACAGAAGCAATAGTGGCATCAGCAGCAGTAGCCGTAGCCGGCCGTAGCCGTAGCCGTCGCGGTAGCGGCCGCTCGTAGTAGCAGTAGTCGTGGTAGTAGTAGTCGTCGTAGTAGTAGTAGTAGTAGTAGCCGTGGCAGTAGCAGTAGCAGGTGCAGTAGAAGTAGCAGCAGCAGCAGCAGCAGGAGTAGTAGTAGTAGTAGTAGTAGTAGTAGTAGTAGTAGTAGTAGTAGTAGTAGTAGTAGTAGTAGTACTAGTAGTACTAGTAGTCGTGGTGGTAGCAATAGTGGGTAGTGGTAGTGGTAGTGGCAGTGGCACTGGCAGTGGTAGTGGCTGTGGCTGTGGCTGTGGCTGTGGCACTGGCAGTCTTAGTGCAGTAATAGTAGCAGTAGTAGTAGTAGTAGTAGTAGCAGGAGTAGTAGCAGGAGTAGTAGCAGTAGTAGTAGCAGTAGTAGCAGGAGTAGCAATGGCAGATTTAATAGCGGCAGCAGTTGCAGTAGTAGCAGCAGTGCTGGTGCTGGTGCTGGTACTGCTGGTGCTGCTGATTACGTGCTGCTAATGTTGTGCTGGTGCTGGTGCTGGTTCTGGTGCTGGTGCTGGTGCTGGCAGCGGTGCTGGCGGCGGTGGTGATGGAGGTGGGACGACAGCTGCTGCTACCACAGCTGCCACCATGGCCACCATCACTGCCACCGCTGCTACCACCACCACCACCACCACCACGAGGAATGGTATTGGTGACGTTCAGCAACGGAGAAGAACTTAACGACAGAAGAAAACAAAATGGCAAATCGCGTCACCAGTGCAAACGAGGTCGGGGGCGAGCCTGTAACGAAGCGCCCGATGAAGAACATCCAGACACCTTACTGATTTACTGGCTCTCATCGTTCTGGCAACGGATCAGACGAGACTACATCCTAATGGGCATCCGATCTGCTCACCGGCAGGACGAATTCGTCTGGCCAAGCGTCTATGGTTCGAAAGGTAGGATGCCATGAGGCACCCCAAGAAGCCTTGCGCGATGAGTTCAGGAGTGTTGCACAACCGCTGATGCCCCCATAGACTCCAAGCAACAAATAAAGCCACCGATCTGAATGCACGGGCGGCGACCTCCACTGTGCCCAAAGCAACGCGACGCGTCTTTGTCTCTCCGGCTGAGGTCGTGGCCGAGCTTGTTGGTCCTCAAGAAATGCGCGCATAGGGTTTAGGGGGGAAGGTCTCCGTTTCTCCACCGCTGCATCCAAGTCACAGGAAAGGTCCCAAAAGGATTGCGCCCGCAGCAGCACCAAAAGTGATGAGCGTGGCACCTGCAGGGATGCACGAGGGCCCTCACTTACAAACTCACCACAGAAAAAACCAATGAAGACGGAGGCACCCCAAGTGACGAAGCCGTCATTCCACGCATCATTATCCAAAGACCTTTGTGACAAGACAAGATCTCGATCGAGGTGGCCTGCGCGGATGATACTGAGATGCCAACCCTTCTGCACTACAAGACTCTTCGTCGCCAAACCTTGTCAGATCGCAAGTGGGAATAACTGCAGGCATTGATCCAGATGCAATTGCTGGTGCCTGCCGATGCACCACTCCTTTCGAAAGGTCTCGAAGGCCTTCGTTAAAGGGTGTCTGTCACATCGCCTTTTGCCAACAAAAAGACCTTGCCTGCACGTTGCCAAAGTTTCCTTGATCGAAGCCAAACATGGCAGCGCCTTATCGAGCGGAGGAGGGACGGGGCTGGGAATGGGAGCTGCGAGCAAGGAAACCTCCGAGCTACATTGAAGCAAGCGCAGCAAGGTGCGACGGGATCTCTCTACGACTCTGCAGGTAGAGGAATCCAGACACGGCGATGGAGAGCGAGAGAGAGAGAGAGAGAGAGAGAGAGAGAGAGAGAGAGAGATATATATATATATATATATACATTTAAAAGGAAAGCAAGAAAGAGAGAGACAAAGTGAGAGAAGGTGAATTGATTCACAGCAGGAGCTTCCCGGCCTACCATGGCCACACCTACGGCCACGTACATCTGCAGGCTGGCAACTGCCTCTGCGAATCCCAACAAGGCATTCAGGGGACCCTGTGAGACATCTCTTCATCCTCAGACGCTGGCCTCCGAGGCATCTGGGTGCTCGGGCTCCTGCAAAGGACAAACCGCTGCGATGGATTACAGGAAAACAGGGGGGCCGCCTTGAGACGTGCATGTCATCATTGTTGCCAGCACCGACACTAGCATCACCGCCGCCATCACGAATTACAAGCAAGCACCCGCACCAGCACAACAAAGACCTGGCGCATGCCTGCTCCCCCAAGAACTGTGTGCATCTGCATCCACCCCATGCCCGACCTCGCCCTCGTAGCCGGACTTGACCCGCGTGGCCTGCGGCAAGAGTGCTCGAATTGAAAATCGATGCAGACAGCATGACATGCGCATGGATGCTACTGGCTCCTGGAACTTCGGTCCAAAAATCTTGAGCGCCTTAAGTTTAAGTTTCTGAGCGCTTCTTCCCAGCGAGCCCCTGGAAGCAACACCCTGAACCCTGCCTCGCGGTTAGTAGGAATCGCCTCCATCTTGCTTGCGTCAAATCCACGCTGCCGTGCTTCAACGAAGATGCTGCGAGATTCGCACGTCGATCCCGAAGAAAGCAAGGGATCGAACATCGAAATACTTGAGCATAAAAAAGCCCCACAGACCTTGTTGCCAGTGTCCGAAGTGCAATCCGGAGTCTGATGAGTCGAACACAGCGCCAACATGAACTCCAATCCCACCTCAGCCCGACACTAAACCCTAAATCCCAGGCCCGTGAAGCCAAGACCGACTTTGCCACTGAGCATCTGCCAGCATACGAGCTCTCCGTGCAAGTACTAATGCCTGAACGTGCCTTTACGAAAGCCCTTCATCGTAATTTTCCTGTTTGGCCTCGAAGACGTGCCTGACAGACCAAAGCCTGCAGCCCCAGCACAGGCCAAGCCCCAGGCTCCGAGGAGGAGGAAGAAAAACAGTGCGATCAGAGGCATTTCCGTGCAGCTCCGCCTGTGGACAGAGGCTCACATGCTGATTGGGGAGCCTCGACGACATCGCATCCTAAGCACGTCGTCTGCACTCCGGTGTTCTGGGTTGCAGGCATCTGCACTAAGGGGACGATAGACGGGTCGCTGCCTTAGGTCTTTAGTGTTCGTCGGCCGGCTGTGCTCAAGCGAGTGGTGGCGGAGTTGAGACACGGGCTCACGAACTCCGCGTCCTCCGGGCAGGGAGCTGCTGGACCAGATGGACCCTGGTACCTCGCAAACGACTTCTTGCGTGCTGGACCTTGCAGACTGTGCCCATTCGTGGCTGCGCACTCGTCCGCGGTTGCAAAAGACTGCAGGAAGTTCAAGACCTGGCACGCGGCCTTCTTACGACCGCCAACTACTACTGCACTCGCAGAACGAGCGCCCTGCCAGGCTCAGCGGCGAGTCGATGGTGGAGTAGAGACACTGGGGGCCTCGAAGGCCACGTGGCCATGAGAAGATGCCATGGAGTTCTCCCCTGATGTCACGAAGAGGAATAAGGCTGTTGGATCGTAGGACAGCTAGCCGCTCCGAGGCCCCGACTGTCGAAGATGTAGCCGCCGCCATCAAGAAAAAAGCGCATCTCGGTCCCGATGGCCTTGTCGGAAGAAACTTCGGCCTGCGACACAGACATTGTAGGACCCCTACCTGCATCAGGAGCACAGCGGAATGGACAGCCATCGCCTCGAGTGTGCGGGACAACCGGAGGAAGTGCGTGCCGGCAGAAATGAAATGCACACGGTCATGCTACGGTCTGAAAGGCCCTGGCGGCATATCCAATCGCCGAATAACGACAGACTTTTGGAAATTTCCTGCCGAGTCAGAAAAGGCAGCACCTAATGATGACTTAGTGGACCATGTCAGAGGCGAGGCGGCCTTCGCGCCGCCACGAATGCCAAGCCAGGCAGGAAGCCGCCACCCAGACCAGCCAGAAGAAAGAGGCCAAACTGTGCCTTAAGACCAGTGCGAAGGGGAAGCTGCTGCTTCAAGCGCGGGTCACAAGGACTTTGAGGAGAAAACGCAGGGAAGCTTTCAACGGAACAGATAACCCAGGTTGCATCAACATGCAAACGGAGACTACTGCTCGCCCAAGATGCTGCGAGCACATCTCCAGCTGCCCCGGCCTCTCTCAGGACCTGGCAGAGAAAGTATATCCGAAGCCCCGAAATCGTGCTTAAGTGCCTAGTCATCCCGCAAGCAGACACTGACCTCCTGTGTCTCGACATGTCCCACCTCACTTCTGTCGGGGATCACTGGCTCCGCACAAACCCCGACAACTTCCGAAGGAAGCTCGAACATGCGAAGAAGACCACATCGGTGACAAAAGAGGAGAAAGCCCCAGTTCCGAAGCCCGGAGCTGGACGGGCCGGACCTCCCCTTGCACGAGGCAGAGGATGCCGTCGCCCGCCGCGGCCACGACGAGGCGAGCGGAAGTACCAAATTCCTCGTCGGAGAAACGGCTGGCAATTTGGATGTGGAGCATATCACTGCGTCATGCTGCCGTGTGTTCGACACTCCGAGTCGCACACGAAACTGTCCAGGATTGAAACTACCTCGGGACGCTGCGAAGCACACTGGTCTATCCTCTTCAGACAGTTTCAAGGCCCAGACGAGGCCCATCCCGCAAATGATCAGCAACAGCGCAAAGACTGCAGCAGGCTTGCTGTGCATGGAAAAGCGATCAAAAGGCGAATGCCGTGGACACACAGTGCTCAAGGAGAATCAAGCATCACCTGCGTTGCAGCTCACTTTGGTTCCGCAGCACTTCCCGCCTAGATGTCGCACCGGACAGAGTAGCACGAGGAGGACCTGGTAAGCTCCCGCAAAACCATGCTTTCCTGAAACCGTGAAGTACATAAACACATCAGAAAGCAAGCTCCGCGCTACTACGGTCGTCATCCGGCAGGGCGTGAACTTTGGAAGCTTCTCCAGGACGGTCTGCAAGGAACCACGACAAACACAGTCAACTCCTACCGATTTAGATGTAAGCAACGGTCTCCAACAACTCTCAATACACATCATGCATGGACAGCACCCTCCTCCAACAAATTAACCAATGCGCATATGGACATGTATGTTCATGTGTATATCTATATATATATATATATATACATATGTATAAACATAAACTCATATGTGTGTATGTGCATGCGTATATGTGTGTTTGTGTGCGTATCTATATATATATATATATATATACATATATGTATGTATGTGTATTTATTTATACATGTGTGCATGTCTCTCTGTCTTTGTAGCTTGCACAGACGGAGACATACACGCATACATGCATGCATGCAGCCAGCCATCCAGCCTTTCATCAAACCAGCATTCCATCAATCCATGCCCGCCTGCCTGCCTACATACGTACTTCTTTATGTACATTCATGCCTGTGTGCAACACAAACTACTTTGTGCCATAGTCAAACAACAAATAAAGCACGTGGTATGACTCCAGTCCATGATACTGTGCCTTATACTATATTGTATTTCATTATATGTTGAATTATACTCTGCAGTGATAAGTTCATTAGATTCTATTGTACTACATTATGCTACATTGTGTTGTGCCGTGTTCTCCTATGTTGCATTGGCTTGTACTATCTTGTGTGGTGTTTTCTCAGATTGTCTTGTACTGTATATGCTGTGGTTTTTTCGGCATCTCATTCAGAAACTTATGTTATACTATACTATTCCATACTCTACTATACGACACTGTGTAGTACGACTGCTGTACTGCTTTGGATGGAACTGATTGTATCAGATTTGTATAAGATGGTATGATGTAGTACTCCGTCGTGTTATGTTGCATTGTATAGTATCTTGCATATAGTCTCGTATCATACGGTTTCGTTTCATACCCTACTTTGTCGTGTCATGTCATACTATACCATGCTATATGTTGATTTACTATGTAACACCGTGTCATGTACTATGAGACTGTAAAACCCAATACTATACCCGGCAGCACGGTATGCAAAAGGAAAACTATTGTGTGATTGGACATGGTGCTCAGAAAGGATGCACAAATAAGTTCGGGTGGCTGCAGCTTGAATCTGGAAAACCCAACCGCAGCCTGCAATCCTCACCTTCTTCAACGTTCGCCGAAACACGGTGTCAAAAGTCCCGAGACCTGCCTCTCGCTCCACCAAGACGCCCAGGTACAGCACCAGCAGAGCCTGGCGCATGTACCGCCGAGTCTGCTTTTTCAGCGAGAGGGCTACAGCAGAGCCAAGCTAAAGAAAAGCCTCCACGATGTGTCGCGGTCTGGTCCAATTTGCAGGTGCATTCTTCAGCCATGACCCCTGAATTGGCTTGAACACGGTGTTCGCCACATCAGGTTACAGTTGCGGCTCCGTCTACAGAGTCTGCATGAAACCCTGAAAGCAGGACGGCGTGTCCGATATTGCGAGCATAACCATCCTTGAAAGACAAAGGCACCACTGAGGCTCGAACGCAAACGCTTGGGGCAACCCTACTGTACTTGCTGCAAAAAGCGAGCAGACTTGCAATCGGACCCAGTGGCTTGGGACGACGAAGGTGATTCGCCATGTGCTCCCATTCCAACACTGCTTCGACAAATGTAGCATCATGATCTTATGACGACACTCAGTGGCAATGCTGGGAAACACTGATTTCCCACATCCATTTGCCAGACGAAGTCGAAGTGCGGTATGGCCGCGATTGACAGTGTCGAAGGTGATTCGGCATCAGGTCCTGGCATCACGTCATACAGTCGGGTTGGCTTCTTTGCTGTAACGCAGCACCGCAATTCCAGGGCTTGGTTTGTTCTCCGAAGCGGTCCTGCAGGCTGCGAGTAGGTGACTGCGACACCAATGAAGATCTGCAGAGCCAAACAAGCACAGCGAGAACTTCAGCAAACATGGTCACAACAGGTGATGGTGTCGGGCCGCAGCAGAGCACACTCGCTGCACGGATTCCACGGGTGGGCAGATGCTTGTTTTGCTCGCAAATGGCAAACCGATTCTAGCTGAGTTGCCACGAAGATACCAACCGCGGTGAGGCCGGCCGTGCCACGGAGGAAGGACTTCTGCCAAGGAACAGCCTTACGCGCAGCTGCGCCACCGCGGTGCGCCCCGAACGCCCCGCACTGTCAACCCTGGCTTCTGAGTGCAAAACCGCCATGGTTCGGACTCCATGTACTCAGCGCTACATGGAAGTTGCAGAGCTAGTTCGAAATTCACCCAAGATCATCAGCATGATGGCCTCTCTGGAGGCACCCGTGCGTAGCTATCCACGAGCAAGTTGAAGATGACTCTTTCAAGTTGGCTTTTTGTCATCTTTATGCTTCGGGGGCATGAGACCCTTTCAACACCTACTAGTACTATCCTTGAGCAACAGTGCGGAAGGGCGTAGGGTAAGGGCCATGCCAGAACAAAGTATAAGCAAGATCTTGCACCAAGAGGCACCCGACACAGCTCCACACAGCTTTCAGCATTGCAGTCGTACCGGCTACACCATCCGGCATCCACCGCCAGCTGAAGCAGCTGCCTGCGAGTCCCCATGCTGATACAGCAATGCAGCACTTTGTTTTGTGGCGCCGTCCAACCCAGCCTTGCCACGGGGTCATGCCGCAGCGCCTGGGCCCAGCCGGAACCGGGCGCCGTCAGAGGCGACAGCACGCGGGCAACAAGGGCGTCCCTGGTCCAAGCCGATCTTAGATGATTCCCACCCCTCACCCCCTGCCGCTCTGTGTGAACAATTGCCTGCCTCAGGGTCATCCGGTACAGCATGTCTTTGATGCCTCCCATGTGCCTGACGAAGAGGCCTGAAAGGAGCCCTACAGCGACATCTGATGCGAAAGGCAGCAACGACCACCCGGGTTACGGTTACGGTAGTGGGACTGGTATGGCCAGGTCCGAGATCGCAGGCCTCCGAAGCCTTCAAACAGCTCGATGGAGGGGACCTGCACAGGGCGCGGTGACAGCCTCTTCCGTGATGTATGGTGATAATGGTGACGTGTAAATGCCAAACTTTGGCAGTGCCGGACTGGGAAAGCCTCACTATTGAGCATGCTCGCCTTGGCCATCAACTTTGGATGACGCGGAAAGTATTCGTTCATCACCTGAAGTGCATAACAGCACAACTGCGATGAATCAGCAGCGGTTGAACGAACACTTGGTAGAATCAGCACGGCTGTAAAGCCTATGCAGCTGAAGCAACCAAAGGGTTTGCCCCCGTGAACTCAGACTATTGGCGTGGTGATGAGGAAAAAACACGAGGCAGAAGGAGGTGCTACAGCATCTATTCTGTCTATCGATAGATCTACCTATATCTATACATATACATATACATATATATATATATATATCTGTAGATTGGTATTGAATGTCCATGCAACAACATACCTTCGAAAGCCAAGCGGCCGTCTGTTCCAGAAACAGCTCGCCACGAAAGCGTGACAAGTCCGTGTGTTGCAGCGGCAGCCGCCACCTTGTCTCAGATTTTTGATGATGCAGATTAATACCCTCATGATTACAATTGCTGTTCTAATAGTATTCTTGTCATTAGTGCTATTGTAATTGATCTTGTTCTTAGTGTCGTGATTGGTTTCACTTCAAACAACTATTCTCCTTGCCCGTTCTACGCCTCTCCACTTCCTCACTGCTGCTGCAAGAGTGCCCACTTCCTGAATACTACCACTGTTACTGCTGCCACACCTACTGCGTCTTCGAGCGAGTGCATTTGGGCAGTGTCTGTCCCACCGAGACCGCCAAGAAAACCCAGCAACGGTGCTGTGTCCCATGTACGATAACACTAAATCGCCGGTCGCAGGGCACAAGGCAATTTCTCTTAACCTCTACAAACCATGGCAGTGCATGAAGCAAGACTTAGGCAGCGGTCTCATCGTGTGTGCAAAGGGACGACTTTGCTGTGGATACCTTCCAGATGAGTGAAAGGATACGAGCAACCTAGTGGCTCCCAGTCACGGCAGACCACCCTTTCAGTGGCTACTTGCAGCTGCGACACCACTCCTGCATCATCTTTCGTGACACTGGACTGTTGCGCACGACCTGCGCAGGCCAAGTCAAGACGCCGGGCGCTGGCAGCAGAAGCAAAGCCCCGTAAGCCGAGCAAGGCCCACCATGAAGTGGTCGGAGATGTTGATTCTCTTGATGGACAGCTTGCCGATTTCCTTCGTCCTCGGCACGCGTGCATATGCCACCACACCCTTGATGACGAAGCTAGGGCAAACAGATGCTTTATGATGTTATCTTCTCTGAGTTGGAAAGTAGTCGTGCAAAACGTGCAGACCGATGCCTCCTGACAGCAGCACATGACTTCGCCTGAACGGCATCCAAAGGGCGCAGAAGTCGAGGCGAAGAAGAAGAATGGCGGTCTTTGCAAAGGGGTGGCAGGTATGGCAGGAGTGCTTCGTCGACTCGTGTCTGTGATCCCTGCACACCGCTGCAGTTTTCCTACTTGTAGCTGCTCTTGCCCTGCCTTGAGTGGTTTGCGGGGAAGCCCTGGCTTTTCAGCAGCTCCTGGGTCGCACACTAGGATAAAAAATCAAGCAGCACGATCACTATCATGATTATGATTGCCAGCAATTATCAGTATCTTTAAGAGTATAAACACCCCGACTTTTTCTCAAGAGCTCTGAGAGAGGGGGGGCCCTCAGACTGCTTTGAGCCTTTTGCTGCGCCTCCAGGGGCTCCGAGGAGACGATGAAGGCGTCGCTGTCCAACCAGGCCACCAGCTCGCAGCTGCTGTCCTCCACATAGGGGTTTCCGAAAACAGGGACCCTAATATAGTACCCTAAACAGGATCCTGATTATAAGGACCCCAAAATACGGTACCCCTCATTTTTGGAAACTCCCACATGGGCAGGTAGCTCTCTAAATTAGGGCCCTTTTAGGACCCCAAACTAGTACGGCACCCTGTAAAAAAAAGACACTAAAAGGGACCCAATTTAGAGAACTACCCACATGACATCTGCGCTTCCGCAAAATGTTCAAACCCCCAGTTACTTTCGGGCCGACGCAAGTACTTGTAGGGGGTGAGCGGTCATGAGCTGCAGTCCTGCAGCCTCGTCGAGATCAAACGGACGATCAGCCACTGCACTTTGCGCTCCGGCAGCACGCCGTCAGCCCGCATGCGCTCCATCTGCAGGGCAGCTGGGGATGCCCGGCTCTAGTCTCCCTCTCCTCTCACAGCTTATTATCTTCCTCGCCTGCCCTTATGTTCCAAGTCAGAACCACAAGTTGCCTCATCGTTGCTGACTTCCACACGGCTGAAGCGATAGCCATGACGAAGGGCATAGAGACCTCGACATTTCGTGCACGCAGCGAATCAGTGAAAAGGCAGCCTCAGAGAACTTCAGCGTCAAGACTGGTTGTGCGCCAGCTGACATTCACACACATACAGCAAACCCTGAACTCTGAAATCAAGTGGAGGCAGGTCGCGATTCAGGTGGTACGTGAGGCTCCAGAAGTTCGGCGCCTCTCGATGAGTCCCCACGAGGAGGGAGAGGTCCGACTCCTGACGAGATGTTCAGGTCTACGGTTTGAGGATTGTTAGGCTCTAGGGTGTCATGGCTTTAGGGCTTCAGGCCTTGGGGTCCTGGGGCTTAGGATTCAGGGCCTCTCAAGGGTCCTTCGTGTGTGCTTAGCAAGGTTTTCAGCCCCAAGCCGAAGCCGAAGTGCTGGGTAGAAGATGATACGACGTCTTTCACAGCCCTGTCCAGTGGACGGTCATCCCCCGGATCTCCGGTGATCAGGCACACGGAGCGGGGATCCGCAGGTGTTGCACCTCGGTCTTGAGTGCAGGGAGAGCGGTTTTTTCGCTGGATGCCACTGCCGCAGGCAAATCCCACTACCACTGAAGCCCAACATCTGCATAGCACGCCAATACACTAACCTTGAAGTGCTGGCCAGGAGCTTGGAGGAGCTGAGGAATCTTCGCAGCGGCATCTGGGAGGCGGGTGCTATGGCAGGTTCAGAGACACTTGCTCGGCAGACTAACCCCGACATGAAGGAAAGCCAAAGGCACGACCGCATGCTGGGGCTGCCCTCCGGGCAGAAGTGCAGCTTGCAGGCTGGGCGGTGCTTGTAGCGCACGTGACCACCCAGCCATGTCTCCACAAATCCCATGCTCTTCCAGAAATCTGCAGACGCAGGGAGTACAGCACAAGCTGTGAAAGGGCGCTTGTGCATGATTCGAAACCCCAGAAAGGCTCGAATTTGCTTCGTGCAAACTGTACTACGCCTCATGGGACTTTGGCAAGCCCTGGCCTGGGCTGCGAGAAAGCTCCGTCAAGACGCAGGGTGTTCGTCGGGCCAGATCTCCGACCACCAGCTCAGTGAGCTGAACACCCGTGAGGACATCCTCACAAGTCTGTCGAGCTCAGAGAACGGAGTCTGACGGCTCACGTGTTGCGCCTCATGTGCTCTATGCCAGACTGCGAGAAAGGCTTAAGAGCAGATCGTGTGCTGCTTCGAAGCGAAGCGCCCTAACTCTCAAATCTTCTGCCACACCTTTCGAAGTCTTCTTTGCTTACAAAGTTTCTGCCGCCAGGTTTTTCTTCGAGTGCAGCGGTGGTGTTCATGTCTTCTCCGCGTGCTGGGCTGCACCATCTTCTGCTACCTGCCTTCTTACGTGATCCATGTGCCGCGGGGCATCTGAGCGGCGCAGTTGCTCGTGTGCATGCTTTGCCGAACGACGTCTGCCGGCAAAGTCTGCAAGTCGCGGCCTGTCTCACCATGTCATATATCCTTTTTCTTGACAGTTGAGTCTTTTCTTGGCTTTCTTGTAGTTCTTGCTGGGACCGAGTGCAGTGACCTGCTGTCGTTGAGGCCCCACGCTATAGAACCCCCAAACAAACCGTCCTGGAGGCTCTCCGTGTGGGCGTAGGTCGCCGCGCGAACCGCGGCCGCCTCGGCCAGGGCCACTTCCCCGCAGCGGCCCAAACTCGCTTTGACCTGCCGGGTCCGCCCGGGGCCCCCGGGGCCCAGAAAGCGATGTTTTGGGATCCTTAGTAGAAGTAGAGCATACTACACTACTTTGGGGGTGGGGGGTCCTTATTTTAGCACAGCTTAGGGAGAGTTCTCCGGGTCGGCGTTTAGAAGAGTCGTGCTCTTCTGTTGAAGGGAGGCACAAAGGCTTGTTTGACCAGCAAGCTTCCAATGAAATCTTACTCTGGAGCAATTGGGGCTGCACCTTGTGATTTTGAGATGGAAACTGCTCCTTGAAGTTTCGCAAGCGCTCGAGTGGCATCTACGTGTGCAGTGCCGGCCTCCTTCGCATCGCTTCTCCACACAGCCCGAGCCTCTGTTTCGGGATTCCGGGTCTAGGGCGCAGGGTCTAAGTTGAAGAGTCAGGCTGAACCATCGGTGTCGCTACGAGCCTCCGAAAGAATCAGGCACATGCCTGCTGTTAGATGAACATACTGCTTACGATGGCCTTCTTGATTCCATTCACTACACACCCTGTCGCGTCTTTTACGCATATTCTTCAGCTTGTAAACAGGATCCTGGCTTTCAGGAGCTCCAAAGTCCTTACCCAACCACTTCAGAAACTCTCAAAGCTCTCGGGCAAATCCCCGGAGCAGGACCCTAAAACCCTAAAACCCTGAGCCCTAAACCCTAATCGATAAAACTCTCTTACCGTAAGCGCCCAAAAAAGCTCCTTCTGGTCTCGTCGTGCAGAGACTGAGAGTCCCGACGGCTTCGAGCAGATCGCTGCGGTCTCTGGGCCCCTGATTTTTGTATGGCTGTAGTGACTGAAGGTTTTGGGGTTGAGGGCGTTGGGTTACTACAAGAACTGACATTCGTGCTTCTATTATGTTTCTTGCGACAGCCGCTATCACTAGCGTTGCTGCGGCTCCTGCTTTTCCTCCTGAGCCGCCTCCTACTACTACTACTACTACTACTACTACTACTACTACTACTACTACTACTACTACTGCTACTGCTACTGCTACTGCTACTGCTACTGCTACTACTACTGCTACTGCTACTGCTACTGCTACTGCTACTGCTACTGCTACTGCTACTGCTACTGCTACTGCTACTGCTACTGCTACTGCTACTGCTACTGCTACTGCTACTGCTACTGCTACTGCTACTGCTACTGCTACTGCTACTGCTACTGCTACTGCTACTGCTACTGCTACTGCTACTGCTACTGCTACTGCTACTACTGCTCCTGCCACTACTGTTGCTACCGTTGTTGCTCAAGCTGTTGAGATGATTATAACAATCATCGCCGCTTCGGAAGATTTAGGTGTGGGGGACTGGGACCCCGCAGAGCTGCACAGACCCAAATGTCAGGCATGCGTGTCCGCGGAGAGTGGCCATCAGCGGCTTCCAAACGCAAACACGATGAGCTCACTCTGCTAGGATCCCGAGTCAACATAGAGTGACTTGTTGGAAGCTGGGTCGCTTCCTCCACTTGCTAACCGCCTATCAAGGCAATCACCTGCAAAGAATCAACAAACTCAGGAACGAAGTGAGCCATAGCCTCAACTCTATCCAACGTTCGATGCGCTCCGAGCCCCGTCGGCACCTGCTCGCGTGGACCTTCGAACATCTTCTCCTCCAAGGTCTCGGCGAGCACCTGACCCGACGACGAGCTTTTGAATACCCGGGGCAGAACATCTTTGTACAAAGGGCACACAGGGACACGATACCGAGGTGCCAGACTGTGGCTACCGCCACTACATCGCGCAAGAAGCATGTCTCCTTAGGATCTAATCGGCCGCCGGGCCTTCATGTCCTCCGTGTCGCACGTTGCAGGACACCTCGACTCGAAAGACGGAGCATTCGGAGAGTAGAATGCGAACTGAGCCTTTCCGGAAGAGTGACGTGCCCACTACGGATTCCTGATGAGTGGGGGGCCGGCAGTGCCCCTTCGAACACCCATGATAGAGTCTATACCCGCAGACGTAAACCCTCCGAACCTCCAAGCGCCGAGGCAGCGACCGACCCAGGTTCTGCTCGCAGACCTGTGCCTCAGTCGACACTGAACTTAAAGGACTACCGACTGCAATATGCTGTACAGATCTGTGTAGTGTATGCACGTCTTCCTTTACAAGGACGGAGCACATGCCCTCCCTCCCCCGCATCTGCAGCTCGTCTTTGTCCTGTCTCCGTCGGTGCGACACTTTCAAGGGTCAGGCCCTTCCTCCTGCATGGACCACTACTGCTCGTGCTCCTGCTTTGCCTCCTCCGGCTACTCCTGCAGCTTTCTGACCGTGCATTTCGTAGTGCAGTGAAACCAGCTCGCGCATACATACATACCATATGACTCCATGACTTCTGTCAGGTTTGTATTCGTGCATGTGTCTTCTACCTCTGCGCCGACACCGAATCACGGCTGAGCAATGTGCCGATATGCGGGCAACCAGTCGGAAGAAAGGCCACCCACTATCCAGCAAGTCCTGCAGCAGGGAGCAGCTCGGCAACAATCGCGCCAACAGCAGCATAATGAGATCGCTCTTGTGGACTATCACGGTTTTATTACTCGTAGCTGTTGTCGGGGTTTTGTTCCAGTGCTCCTGCAGAACACAGGCAGGAGTGATTTGACTTCCGCGCATACAACCCGAGCTGGGAATATCCCTCCAGAATTCATCAACGACTTTTCCTCAAGGCACCACCCATCGAAACGAGCCGTCCGTGAGAGCCCAGGGAGCACACAAAATACCGCCCCTGGAGGGGCCGGTGGACCCAATACAATGCTTTGTTCGAACAGCTGGACAGTGTCCGTATTTTGCTGGGAATCCCTCGTGTCCATCCAGCGCAGCGCAGGCAGCAAGACTCGAAGGGCATGGCTCAAAGTGTCCTTGGCAGCGCTGGTTAGCTTCTAAATTTCGGTCTTGCATGCGTTGCCTCCCCCCGAAGCTATCAGACCCACTTCCATGGTATTTCGGCCATGTGTAAAAATTGAGATCCGATTGTCTCTGTGAGTGGGCACCGAACAGAGCTCGGCACCGAACAGAGCTCACGCCGCCAATTGCACGATGCAGGGGCGTTTGAGTTTAGCAGCGTAACCGCACCAACCACAGAAGAGCGAGGCGGCCCTACGTCTACAAAACCATGTATTAACCTCATCGGATAAAAAACTTCCAACTTGCACCTGAAAGATTCAGCCGTGCGTTCCAAACCGCTGGACAGGTTCTCTAAATACTAAAGCCGGATCAAGTCGCGGAAGGGCTCCAGTTGTGGCCGGGCGTAGGCCGGACAAAGCAAGGCACCTTCCACTGTGCGGGTTTGGATCGCTGGGGCCTATGGCCATGAGTTCTGCTTTGGACCGGGGAAGAAGCCGACGTGATTCAAGGGGAACTAACAGGTTTTTTCTGATCAACGTATGGCAACATGATGACAACCATCTCTGCTGCTGATGACGATGACGAGGGAGACGACGAACACCCCCCCCCAACAACAACACCAACAACCACTACGACACACCATAATGATGATTGCGTGATGAGTTCCACGGAGCCGTCAAGACTTCGGGCTCGGCTCGGCACTTCGTGGGCAAGGTAGTCATCGAAGCTCTCCGGCGGACACCTGGCAGCAATGAAAGCGCACCAGCAATAATCATGATCACCATCCTCACATCGCCACTAAGCCGCCAACAGATATCACCGGAAGTACTGATGGTAACATCAACAGCGCAGAAGTGTCTATACCGAATTTGTCTGCCGGGCCAAGGGGGCAACAGGCCTCATCTCGAGGAATTACAACTGTGCATACAAACATGCATGCAGGCAGACACAAACATGCTTGAATCTGAGTATAACGCTATGTCTATTGGTTTGTTTGCTTTGCAGGTGCTTGTATGGATGTACTGGTTCATGCTACGGTATAAGTGAAACTGAGATTCCCCTGGTCTCCGACACTGCCATCCGCATCCGCGACGCCTGAAGGCTTCTTCCCACTTCCAGGTGCCTTTCAGAGGCTGACCTTGACGAGACTCACGTTTGGACACGCAATAAGGCTGGACTCGACTTAGGACCCACGTCAGGGCAAACATCACATACAAAGATGACCTTTCGAGGTGTGCGGTAGGTTGCGGACGCACGAACATGAGCATCATGAGCTGCCTTGGTTGGCGACACACGTGTGCAGAAACAAAGGCTGCTGCGTCAGTAGGCAGCGGAAGAAAGCACCGGGAGCCCTGCATGCACACGCAGCCCAGTAGGCAGAATGGATGTCCCTGGCGATGCCGCAAAGATCCCAGACCAGGTCATACCACCGAGTCAACTGCACGACAGCCTCCTGCACGTGGCCGGCAACGACGGATCGGAAGTCGTGGCCCCAGCAGGACTCAGACCAAAGACTGCTCAGAAGTACCACCACCGGGGGGATTCTTCGACAACCTTCGGACCCGAGGCCAGGGCTGTGGGAGGCTGCATCTTGCAGGCCCCTGCCTGTGCCTCGACTCAGTCTGATTACTTCGAGCATTCGACTTTTGAGAAAGTACTCGGCTTTTGAGGACTGACGCTCTGCTACAAGTAGCAGTGATATCGGAAGCACAAGCGGACGGGAACAAGGACAGCTGACGCGGCCTCGGCACAGAGGCGGTCGCGCCCAGCCAGAATTCGGGACAAGCCCGTGCCTGCTCAAAACAAACGGCCAGGGCAAAGATCAATAGATGCTTCAAGCGCAAACTCCCACAGCGGATCGACAACGATCCATCCTTCGATTTTGGCCCCAAGTACATTTCCTCTGATTGGTGCTCGAGTTCGTGCGAGCTCCAGGCCGGGCGGGTTCTTGATGGCAAGACGACGTTCGCGCCATCACCCCCCCGCCCGTCTCGGTGGGATGTAGGTCGCGAACACTGCCAAGCATGCATCAATTGTATTGCATGAACAAAGTGAGCATGGTAGTCAGTTTGTGCACGGCGTGAAAGCACCGCCTCAGCAACCCATCTTCAGCACAAATCGAGGCGTCATGCTTGGAAGAAGCACTCCACGCATACTCAAATCAATGACCTGCAAGCTTTTGCGGCCGCCTGCGTCGACGTCTTCGACGAGTGCGTTCCGCAGGTCCTCCACTTGCACCGTAGTATACACATGCATATCTAAACACAGATGAGCTGAGACCAACGAACCTGGAATACACTACAAAGACAGGTCGTATGCAAAGCAGTCGAAGTTCCTGAAAGGTGCCGTGCAGCAAAAGGCACTTGTGCAACGACATGCGGCACAGCAATCAAGTCGAAAGTGCCGGTCACTTAGTGTGAGATCCAAGCCAAGCTACATTCACAAGCGTTCCTTTGCCGCATGTGGTAATTGTATTGGTTTCGTTTATGATGCTGAGTGCTAGCAGTAGTAGAATCTGCAGGAGTACGAGTCGTCCTACGCTCATCGTCGCGGAGTTGTTTTCGCTATGAGTACTATCTTTCTCAGTATTGGTCCTGAATCTGCCACCTTTTCGCCAGTACTGACCTTTCCGACTTAAAGTTTGACTGTTTGCGCTGTTGTTGTTGCTCTTGGATGTGTCTACTACTGGTGTCGTCTCTTCCCGTACTGCCCGAGACTGAAAAACATCACCACCGTCACCTTCATTTATTATCTTCTTGTTCGTATTCAGGTGAACGTCAGGCGATCACTGGAAGCTTCATGGCAAGTAGTATGGTTGCGATTGTTGTCATTCTCTGTGCATTTAGCTGATGCTCCTGTTGCCGTGCTCATGTTGGGAACTCTCTGTTCAACCGCATCTGACATTTGCAATACTGAAGACTTGTCCTCCTTGAAGCCGAGCCAGTCAAAGCCCAACCAGTCCTCCAGACGCGAAGGCCCCCAGAAAGGAGGGAAAGGCACATTCAACATGACGAGAACATGCATGAGCCTCATGGGCTCCGCATCTTAATGTACTTCATTCATCTGGTGAATCTAGTCCGTAGACGACGAGGAAGGCCCACAACACCGTAGCCACGGCAGCTTTAACAGAAACACATCTGTCACAACATCTACTGTAGACAGACAGATGAACAAATAGACAATTCGGAATCTCAAAATTCGCGCAGCGTCAGAATTACCACGGGATATCACAGGGGTATCAACTGCCCCGCCTTTGCCATGTCGTCTGACGCCTCGGCAGTTGATACATGATCCGGGGATTGAGGTTTCGGGATTTTGGCTCAGGCCGCTTTAGGGTTTACCTCGGGGCTCTAAAGGCACATTAGTCTTTTACGTGTCCTGAGCAGGTGCTTATGATTTGCGCGCTTTGCTGCGCCTCGCAGGCCCAACGGCGCCGCAGACGTGCAGGGCAGCCCTGCGCGAAACTTGCAGTGGTGCATGGTTCATCGAATGCATAACGAAGCTGCCGCCATGTAGCTACAGCTCCGGGTCCGTTGAAGAGGACTGTCGTTCAGCGATGAAAGACAGCGTCTGGGCATCTTTGAAGTCTCGGAGTTCGAAAGTCAACGTGCGCCGTTTCGTTCGACACATTTCGAAACCTGATATGCACAACAGCCGAAGACCTTGCATCAGAAGTACTCTAAAAAAGCAGCCAACGCTTTTTTGGTGGAAGTCTTGAGCACTCACACTGAACGGCTTCCGTTCCGCCGGCGGCCTCGTTTCCAGCCTGGGTCTTGAGCTCACAGTGCAGGTCCTCACAGTCAGAACACATTTCAAAGCCTCTAAGGACCCTTTCGGAGCAGCCTCTTCGGCTCCCCAGATCGTTGGAGCTGACTGGGACAGGAGTGGTGGCAGTGTGACATGCTTGTCCTCCCACCTTCTTGTCGATGATCTGGGGTGAGACCAAGGCCTCGAAGACTCGAAGCTGGAGAAGTGGCATCACAGACTCTTACCCTCAGCTCACGCTGCTGGCATGTGTTGGCCTTTCTTGGACTTTTCACTGAGACATGGGCAGGCGAGATACTGACGCAGCAGAGGGGACATCGCCAGCCCTCGAGGATTTCCCTGGCATCTTACAGACTGCTCGCTTACGACTGCGAGCCTTCACCCTATGCCCTATGCCCGCAGCACCCTGAAATGAGTTCCGACACCCTTGGCCATGACCTGTCATGTACATAATTCAGTCACTTCTTTAAACAACATATTGCTGGTTGAAAGACTAGTGCAGGCCTCGAGCCCCACTGTGTGCTGTGCAGACGAAACCAGCTCTCGCCGAACTGGCAGTGCACATCGACTGCACCATCTCCTTAGCGCAGCCCGGTATTGTCAAGGGTGCACCGAAACTGCCCTGGGTCCCCCTGCTCATCTCGGACAAAGTACCTTTCAAAGGCAAATGATGCATGTCTGCATAGCTGGGCCCTCTTCGATGAATAGATTATGATATTGCATGCCTCCGCCGCGCACGAGCAGCGTCCAGGACCGGCGGTGGCGACCCAAGTGGCCTCTGGGCTTAGTCGAGCTGTGGTGCCGGTAGTCGCCTATCTTTCCGAGCATTCACCATCAGCAGACTGGCCGCTCGGGAGCGCACTGCCTGCCAAGGTCTCGGGACCCTGAACGAAGGCCCGCGCCAGCTCTGACCAGCCTTGCGGCCAGGGCTGCACCGAGCAAGGAGCAAAGAGCAACGCCGAGGAATCCCTGCCTTCGCCGATCAGAGACCTCCGAAAGTTGGCCAAAGCGGCCTCGAAGGAGGAACGTATCATTTGGGGTGGGTCATGCCGACTTCGCGGGCTTTGAGCCCTGGGTCTGAAATTACGGGGTAGCTGTGGCTCCTATATGCACCTCTCTCTGCATCTGTGGTCCTGGCTGTCCCATTCGCCTTCCGACTGGCCAGCGCCTCGCACTCATGGGCTCAGCACAGCCCCACATGGCTGCCCATGTTCCGAGCAACACGGAGCTTTGCAGGAGAGCCAAGGGCAATGAAAAGACTCAGCTGCGTACCAAGACTGCGGGCGCTCGCTGAAGCTTGTCCTTGCGAGGATTCACAGCGACCTCGGGGCCCACACCCCAGGAGTGGTATTCCCGATTCCACGGACGGGAATGTATGATGCCAACTTTCTCTAAGCCTCGCACAAGAAGCGGTGTCCACCTCGGCTGCCCTACAATGACACCAAGTTTCATGCAACAGCCCCAAGACTGAATGAATGCATCACTGAACAGGTCGCGAACCTCTGCTGCCTCAAACGGTAGCGGGGAGATCGCCGCAACACCTCAAAAAAAAAAGACAAAACAAATCTACTACCGGTACTTGTAGTAGAGCCTTTCAAGGAGCGGTCAGAGCCCTCAAAGCCCTTGGCCTGCCGGCGTACAGCCGAGGTCTTGCGAGCGAGGCACCGCCGGAGCTCCTTTCAGGACTCAACAAGCTTTCATAGAAAGCTGTCCGGCTTTCCGCCAAGAAGGCGCGAGGGTAAAGAAAAGGCTACTGCTCCTAAGCTCACTTGCGTCTCCCGCCTCCAGACTCGCCGGCCGCGCCCAGCTGCTAAGCCTCCCCACATGTTGAGGCTACACTTGTCCCTGCATGCAAGGCTGGCAGACAGCGGCAAAGACAGCCACAGAATGTTGAAACCCCCTCCTGTCCCAATGCCAGGTGCAGCGGCGCAGTGGCCGGACTGGCAAGCGCCGCGGCCCTGGCGTGCAGGCGCTGTACGATTGAGCATTCCCATTGCAAGTGCCAGCGCTGCGCCCCCGGTCCCAGAATTCTGAATCCTCAACTCCTGGACCGGACACTTCAAACCCCAAAAGATCTGCTCACGGCCTCGATACCATGCGAGATCGCCGTATCCCATCCCATACCTACGGTGCCCTTTGCGGCTGCATGAAATCTTGCTGCCAAGACTGAGACCTCTTTATGTCGCTCCTACGCCTTAACTGGCTGGATCTGGCTGGGTATTAGCTGTGCGTCCGAGAACTGGAGCCTCAGGGTGCGAGAATGCACCTGGCTCTGAAGACTGTAAGTTGACGATAAGTTGGTGCCCCGAGGCAGCAACGGAGCAATTGCAGGGGGTTTCTTTTGGACCCACTCACGCCGGCATTCCGTGGCCAGCGCATGATAGCGCATCCGAAGATTTTCAGGAAGGCAGCCGCCTTTCTTCCTCGTCTGCGACCTCGCCAGGTGGTCCTTCGTCTTCGTCGGGAGCAACGAATGGCAGCACGGCAAAACCCACCGAGGACATTTTGACAGAGGAGGCCGCAGCATAAGCCCAGACTCCACCGACAGCGAGAGCAGCGGCGGCAGCACTGAGACCAACAACGTAAAGCTGCGAGGCAGATGGTTTGAAGTCTTGGAGCTTCCGGAAGTCCCAAGGGCAATCCCTGGCGCCCTCTCTTTGTACTTCCTCCCCTTCTTCCGATCCTGAAGCTCCTGGAAGGACTTGTAAAGCCAGCGCCAGCAGATGGCGGCTTCCCCGCAGGTCCAAATTACCAAAGAGCAACGTCTTGATCGGGCTCTCGGCCCCCTTCCGACACCTGCGGCCGCAGGCTCTCTTTGAAAAACCTCCCTCCCAAAAAAGTCCGTGGTTACGCCCAGGCACTGGTCGATGAAGGTCCTCTCATCTGGGCACCTCAGCACGACCTGGCACTGCTCCACGGTCGCCGCTGGGCACGGTTTGAAGCGGCCGGCTTCCCATCTCAGGGTCGGCCCCTGTCCGGGTCGTAGGGGCAGCATCGGTACTTATGCTTCTATGCTTCTTGGCATTTTTCAGTTCTAGGCATCCCTGGTGCGCTGGGAAGCTGCCAAGGCACGTTGTCAATCAAGATGCAGGCGCTCGGCAGCTTCCAGCCTCGCGCCTCCAGATCACCTCAGCATCGCTGCACGTTTCTGGGAGCCTCTGCTGTCGCCGCGAACTTGGAAAGCACATAAAGACCTGCCAAAGGCCGTCCCATTTGCGTCCTGTCTCCCCCAGAGAGTCCAGCATCTCGCGAAAGTCGTTTGCCATACGACCGAGGCACGGTGCTGTTGGCTGGTCGCCGGTGTGATCCTAAACTCCCATGAAGCCCGGAGTGGGGCTTGGGCAAAACAGTTGAGGCATGTCGGTTCGGCTACAGCTGTAGAATCGAGCTTACCGGTGTGTCTCTGCGACGAAAGAAACATGTGCAAATGACCCTTTTCCATGATGTGTCTGTATCACTGTATCACTGGCCGCGTCAGCTTCGTCGAGGATGCCAACTGCTCAAAACTCATGGAAAAAATCCAAGTATGGCTCCGGACTCTTAGTGCTGGTCACGAGCCAGTGGGTCCTTGTCCTATGACTGGTGCCATTCTTACTTCTTCTTGCCGCCCTTGTCGTCTTCGCCCTTGCGCTCACAGCTGACCACCTTGCCCAACATGACCACACCGTTGCCATCCATGAAGGCCACGCGGGAGAGGCCCTCGCAATTCTTGAAAGTGTCGCAGACCAACGGCTGCTGGGGCTGGAAGCTGCACTGGGCCATCTCGTTGGACTTCAGGGAATGAGGATCCTCCATCTTCTTGCCGCCAGTCTCCTGAAATCTCAAAGCAAAGGTCTACAAGAGTCTACACTACACGTTAATCACTTCTAGGCTTCAGAGCGACTTGAACCTAGGAAGCTCTCCTTGCCCATCTTCCACTTCAGGGCGGACACACGGCATGCGGCACGGCCGCAGCGCACAAAACCGATGGGGGAGTAGCCAACTTTGATCTCGTTGGGGATGTCGAGGACCTGGATCTGTGCGTCGAACTCCTTCGTCTGGCCGAGCGTGGTGTCCTTCTTGTACACCATGACATCGCCGGAGCGCGGCATGTTGTTCTTGTCCAAACCTTTGATGTTGAGGCCGACGTTGTCACCGGGGTTCGCAAAGTCGACACGCTGGTGGTGCATCTCCACGGTGAACACCTTGCCGGTGCAAGGGTTGGAGGCGGTGTGGGTGGGCAGGAAAACCACCTCCTCTCCGGGCTTCACCACTCCCTGCTCCACGCGGCCGGCCAACACATCACCGACACCCTTGATCTTGTAGATACCGGAGATCGGCATCCTCATGGGAGCGCTGACGGGTCGCTCAGGCACGCGGCACATCTTGTCCAGGACGTCGTACACGGTGTCCACATGGATCTTCTCGCTGCCGACCTCCACATCCTGACCCTTCCACCAGGCCATGTTGTCGGACTTCTTCAGCAAGTTGTCACCCATCCAGCCGGAGATCGGCATCACGGGGGTGTTCTTCTCAATGAAGTCCTTCTTCCAGCCAACTTTGACCAGCATGCTCTTCATCTCGTTGGCAATCTCATCATAGCGGGCCTGAGCTGAGGAATCAAGAACAAATTGAATAGGTTTGACACACCACAGATCAAAATAGGGATCAACTGAGTTCTGAATGCAATAATATGTCCTAGACTGTATGCTGCTAAAGATGACCAAGTTTCGATCAAAAAGGGTTGATTTAGTGTATATATGCATGTATGCATGTACGTCATGTATGCATGATATGTATGGTGCAGCACTGCCAGGCCCCCCCACCGCGTAGTATCCCCCCGTCCCCCCCTGTGGTTCGCTGTGGTGTGGGTTGCCCCCTGCCCCTCCCCCCTGTGGTTGCGGTCGGCTGCGCCCCCCTTCCATGGCTGTTGCTGGTTGGGCGTCCCGTAGCTGAGGGTTTGCTTCGGATGTGATACAGTTCACTGAACTTCGACCTGCCCTGAGCTCCAAGGCCAATGGATAGTGTTGAATGTTATGGTGATGATGATGACGAAGATGGTGGTCGTGATCCCCATCCGCACTTTCCTCCAGTCCCTTGCTCAAGAGTCCCGAATGAAAATCAAACAAACATGACTTTGAACGAACCCAACCGAGACTTGGCTTGGCATGACAACGGTCGTTACAGTTTTCGCAAGAACATCACAAGCCAAGCACGATTTTCAACTAAAAAAAGCAATGAACATGCGGAGGCGAAGCCCAGAGCAACATAAGAGCCGAGGTACGACCAACAGCCACACTGGGAATAGCACATCAACGTCATTGTACACAACATCATCGCCATCAGTGGAGGGGAAGGGAAGGGGGCCCTGAGTGGGGTTCCCTGTGCTGTTTCCTATCCTTCCCCACCCCGCCCCTGTGGTTCCCTGTCTTCTGGTTCCATGTATTGTGGGTTCTCCTTCCTTCCTCGTTAGCTAAGGCGAGAGGCCTGGCTTGAGGGGGGGCATACCGTGGCATAGCGTGGAGAATATGCGGATAACGTTTGCTAGGACGAGAACGAGAGGCCTGGCTTGAGGGGAGGGGGGGGGCATACCATGGGGGGTGGGGGGGGGGCCTGCGACGCGGCGACGCGGCACCATGTATGCTCCTTCCTTCCTCTCAGAGAGAAATACCAATTTGTGAGAGTTCAGGGGCTGCAAGCACAGGAAGTTACCGCATTTCTGAGATTGTATATCTGTTGATTTGATGTTGATCGCCTTTTGATTTAGTTGATCAGTGTTTGGTCTTTTGTTTCATTCAATTCCGGCGGGCCTGCTTGTAGCCGGCAGTGTCGCAGTCCATCTTGTTCACTCCAATGCAAATCTGCTTCACGCCGAGCAAGTTGATCAGCCGGCTGTGCTGACGAGTCTGGCCTTGGATCTCTCCTGCCTTGTGGTTGCCCTTGGCGATGGCCGTGGTGAAGTTTCCATCTGCTGGCACCATGATCAAAGCCACGTCGGCTTGGGAGGCACCGGTGATCATGTTCTTGATGAAGTCGCGATGGCCTGCCATGACTTTCGCACAAGCATGTTCAATGTTCAGTTGAAATCCTTGGGGGATGTCTACATACCCACCACGATGTCACAAGCTAGCTGCACAGTTCTGGGAAGCTAGGAAGTGAAATCTGTGCATAACCTGAAGGATAAAACACAGCACACGAACCTGGTGCGTCAATGATAGTGTAGTGCCACTTCTCGGTGAAGAACTCCTTGGTGGTGCACGAGATGGTCACACCGCGCTCACGCTCCTCCTTCTGGCGGTCCATGAAGAAGGCAAAGGCAAAGGAGCCCTTGCCCAGACGATCGGCCTCCTGCTTCAGCTTCTCCAACTCACGCTCTGGCAGCCCACCGAGCTCGAAGATGAGGCGTCCAGTGGTCGTGGACTTGCCGCTGTCGACATGGCCGCAGATGACGATGGACAGGTGCTGCTTCTCCGAGTTGGCCGGCATTGCAAAAGCAGAGCGCTGAAGGGCTTCAAGGGGGCGCGACTAGCTTCTCAAACACAAGCTTCAGGAGCGGACGGCGCCGACCAATGCCAGCCAAATGAAATCTGAGCAACGTGCGCTGCTGGCAGGTGCCGATCAGCCAAGAGACTTTCTCCGATTGCTTGCGGGTCTGGCCAGTATAGGCTGAGCCTTGCAGCACGGGACAAGGGCCGCATTCAAACGAACGACCCCGGGGCTCCCGTTTCCACCTGGAGTGCCCCCTCGAATCTCTCACAGTGGAGAGAAGGAGAAGTGCCCACACCCAGCAAGAGACATGAATGTCTCTGCTTAAAAATTCGGCCCATGTATAGCTGGTAATTGCACAGCCATCCGATTAAACATTTTTCATTAACATCTGTGAAGTCTCATCTTCCTGCCTTTGAACTTCCCGGGCCTGACCAGGACAGCAAGTCTCAAGTCCGAAACAGCTTTTCAGTGCAAAGCTGGTGTGCCTGAAGAATGGGGTAGACGCAGACACAGGCGTGGTCGAGCCCAGGCTTAGAAGGTGTTGATAATCTTGGATTGGTTTGGACTTCGCCCGAGGAAGTTGACGCGGCCGGACTCCAGGTTGTAGATGCCCCCCTGGATGTCCACTTCCCCCCTTTGCACCTGCACCCAGGGGCTTGGGCAAACAGTCGCATCCTGAAACACACCAAAAGGTCCATCAAGGCCCAACCGGCCTGGTCACGCACGAAAGCGGAGTTGGTCAGCAGGTAGTCCATGGTGTGAAAGACATTCCTGCAGACAACAACTATGCGTCCAGCAATGGAACCGGTTAACTCGTCTGCCGGTCTCGTCCTGACCTTCTCTCCCGACCGTCCACCTAAACCTCCAAACGAAAACTTGGAAGTTTCCAAGAAGTCAAAGGTTCATCTGCACGGCCAAGTCAGCAATCTCATCTTCGGTCGCATCCCTTGGTTGGTCCAAACCCTGACAAGAGCTTCGAGAAAAGGTGCCAGGGCACTTATCACATATTCATGTGATCAGAACGAGACTTTTCTTGCATCACGCCAGACGACACTTTACGAGGAACAGCCTGGTCAAAAGCTCTCTGCATCACAAGCACAAGTTCAGCTGAGGCTGCCTGCATGTCCCTCCTGTCACATGATTCCATGGTTCATGCATACCTGCCTCACTTGCAATGCCTAGCTTGAACTGAGAGAAGCCGCCAGCAGTTGAGACCCAGTCAACTGCAGCCAAAGTCGCTCGTCCAATTCTTCAGCTGCACACTGGGCCACTGTGCTCAGGCTTTCGAGCAAAGAGCCCAGCGCTCTGCCGGCCTTGTTCACCTGCGTAACACAGAGAAGACAGGAAGAAATCGTTATACTATACGTGCTCCAGGACCGGAATGCTCCCGAAAACCTTGAAACATGCCAGACCTTGTTCTGAGTGGAGTTCAGGTAGGCATGGGTAGCCCCCTTGATGGCCGCACAGCTCGTGTGGCCCAAAATCAAGATCAGCGGTGTCTGCCTGATTCGTCGGGTAGATTTGTGGCTTCATTTCTGCTCGTCATGCTCTACAACCACGCGACGGCAAGGAATTCATCCGGGGTGCAGCGTGCCGGTACAAAACTCCAGGCTGCCCATCACGCTGCCTGCACGTTCTGGTCCGATGGGAGGCTTTCGCGGTGGAGCTTTAGGGTTTCAGGGAGCTCGTCTTAAGATGTGCTCGGCAATTGCTAGAGTGCTAGACAATTTGAATTCTGTCTCTTGTCCGACAGCGTGCTCAAACAGCCCACTGGGCTCCTTCTGCATGCGTGAAACTG